CACACACAAATTTATTTTTGACAAATGTATGTGTGTGTGTGTACATGCATGTTTATACATGTGTGTGATGAAAAACATACTGGAAGAGAAAATTGCCCAAAATAAAAAATGTTCATAAAGGAAAAGCTGTTAAAGTAGTTCACTGGGAGTTTGCATCTGGTGCTTTGCAAAAGTCACTTAAGTTGCAGACTTTACTCTAAATACATTTATATACCCCCACTTCAGCATAAAAATCTCTCTGCATGTATTTGTCCTTCTATAACTAAGTGAGGCTATGAATTATGCCTAAAAAGATGCCACTGATATGAAAAACTTGTAAAATAGTAATGAAATATGGAATTTTATATAATGCCAACAACTGTAGCATGATTCTTGGCATAAGCAGTTTAGTGCAATTTCATTTGTCTGAACCAGAATGATATTACAAAGTGAATTAATAGAACATTAGTACTGAAAAAAAGAAACACTTCTTCCTTTGAAATATGAAGTGCCACTAACTTGAGATGAAACCTGAAAGTCAGTGAATAATATATGGGAAATATTAATATTTTAAATGTATCATATTTAAAATTGCTGTGAACTTAAACAAGGTTTCACATCAAGAAAAAACAAGTAATTCATTTTAGGTTCCAATTTTATATGCAACATTTTACAAAAGATGCGCTTCACTAAAGAAGGGAAGTCAGGTATGTAAGCATATTTTGTAATTTTGCACATGAAATAAAGTCATTATGGAATATGAATTTAATTTGGAAAATGATAAAAAAGAATATTTATTTTATTTTTTCTACTGTGCTGCAAGGAAAACATTTTTAAGTAGCTGATTGAGCAGATGAAATGAACTGATATGGTCCATAATACCCACATGGGCTTTTATACCTTGTGAAACCACATCACAACAGAACCTTTATAAAAAGTATGAAGTCAAGTAATGCAGTCATATTTTATATTTAGAATGGGAGTTGATATGATTCAGCCTAATGTTGTAAAGAGTGAGCCCTCTGGCACTTGGCATTACATTATTTTAAAATTACTCCTGCAAGGAAAGTTAGTAGAAAGAGGGTAGCAGTGTTGAAGCCTAACACTGAAGCTCAGGGGCAAATTGGGGTGCCACTGCCTGTCCTGGCTCTGGTTTAAGTGAGGACAAAGTGTCACCCTTGGTTCTCTCCTTAGTTCAAAGTCTGTTGGCTCCAATGTTTCAATACCCTTCTCCAACGAGCAGGTACAGCTCAGCCTCTGGAAGCCAAACCTGTGCTCCTTAAGATGGGCCAAATCCTCCTTTTCACTTTCATTGAAGCCACTTGGAGTTTTGTCTGATTGGAATGACATGTAGGATATGTATGACTGGGCATTTTGAGCAATTGGGGAAAAAAACCCCTACCCAAACCCAAACATGTCTTTGCATCAATGGAAAGTGTTGGATGTGTCTGAAAGGGCAGTTGAGTGTTCTGGGAAAGACTAAGTCTGCCATGACTCTAAGTGCCTATGAACTGTCTTGTGGGAGGACAGCAAAGTCTGGTTAGTCCATAGCCTGGTTCCCACCTACTTAGCTGCTCCCACTAGGAGCTAGTTGCAGGTGCCACAGAAGAAGACAGGTTGGTGGTGGAGAAAAGGGTACACGGTTGTCACTTGCTACACAAGCAGATCTCTTTCTGGTCAATTTTGCCCAAAGCCCTGGGATATTTGCTATGGTTCTCTCAATTATCTCCCAATAATTTCAGTAGCTTGTATTTTCATTACAAATGCCCAGTGTCCTTTGGAAACTCACTACAGATATCTTAAATTCAGAATAACTGTGATGGGAAAAAAATCATGCTTTTCCTTTTTATTCAGTTTTATCACAATCACAGTTTATTTAAATATACATTTCTCTGCTGTGAAATAACCTTTCTTTCCACATTTATACCCATGTGCACAATGCTAACTCATAGCAGAAAAACATTTTAGAACACTGTGCCATGCTTATAGGATAATTATTAATCTTGTCAGAATAAAAAGTGTGCTAAAACTATTCCATACAAAGGTTTGTGCCTTAACGTTTTTGAAAAATTTTTTTAAAGTAATCAGAGATGTCATAACAGAGGGAGAAACCATACGATATATAGCACATAGTAAAAGTATATGACTCCTACAGGACTATTTAGAAATACACAAAGCTTATTTTTTCTCCTCTTGGTTAGTAGACTACTTGAGGAAAAGGTATGTTTTTATTTTTATTCCTGCTTTTGTCTATGAAGACAATGGGAAACTACAATTTCCAGATTTTAGTAGCTATAAATGGTATAAAAATAAGGAAGAGAGATGTTAATGATACATATCTGGAGGGATAAATACACAATAATCATGCACTCTGACAGCAGAAAGAAAAATTATTTGACTATAAAACCAATGCTAAATACAAGCAGAATAATATTGTTCTAGTGAGAAATATAGCAACTAAAATGATACAACAAAAAGACACTTTTGAAACTCCCTGTATGCTTAGAACTTTTCCAGTTGAATATTCCTTTTTAATGTTTTGTGACCACTGAGATATAGTTAGTGAACAAGCCAGTCAAAACTTTTCTTTGTTTTCCTACCCCATATCTACAAATCCAAAAATGCAACCTGTAGCAATTCCACTTGATATTAGGAAGGTGATTTTCCTGTTTGTTGCTTGGGTTTTGCTTGAAACTTGATTTTGTGTACTCTGACTCGTGCTGAAATTTCTGGGGCGTGCAGCAGTGTTTGTAGGGTCATCCACTTATTTTGTGTGGGAGGGCCAGCTTTTTCATACTGGGGATTCATTCAGGCACAGGAAAGGGATACTGCAGGGTAGGGACTATTTTTCAAGAGTGTTGGGCATTTACCCTCTCATTTGACTTCAGTGAGAACTCTGAAAACTCATTATTAAAAGTGCCCATTTTTCTTTAGAAAGTGAAATGTGGACATAGAAATCTGATAAATCTCTTTTGTCTCTGGTTGAAAAAAATGGTAAAATGCTATAGCTGGAAATGTCTCTTTTTATCATTGAATAGGTTTCGCGTCAGCCCTTTGAGTATAAAGCACAAACCTACCTTTCCCCATGTGATAACTGTTTATTTTGCCTTTTTGTTCTGAGGTAGAAAAAATGATTAAACCACTAATGCCCCAAAAAACCCAGACAGAAATAATAGAAATTATTCTTCATTACTCAATTAAGAAAATAAGAAATTTGGAATCTGCGTATGGTGAATTATGATTTTATATGCTGCTGATTTGACTTTTTGAAATTAGTATCTTCGTACTGAACTCTTGCATATATTTTTGTTACTGTTAGGAAAGAATAAGATGCACATTTCAAAGACCTGTTAGAGGGACAGCTTTTTGAACTGTGACATGCTGAAGCCTAGGAAAAATATAGCAAATGTTTTGAGGAGCAATCATGATCTGGGGAGAGGAGAGTATCCATAGATGCCTCTCTGCCAGTGAACCCTGTAGCAGGTCATGTGCACCTGGGGCTACGGATTTCTCTTCATAAGAGGAGTAGCAGGAGAACCAAAACACAACTGGTTATTGATTGAAGTTCCCTCAGTGCAACACTATCAAGTTTTGGGATCAATTTTGGCTGCATGGTGTCAAGCTGCAAGTGGGAAAGGGGTCCAATCCAAACCGTTTTGCACCACCAATGTCCACACTCAGGGGATAATTTCTTTGTCTGCAAGTGGTGGTTGAAGCCATGACCCTTCTCCCAGCAAAACCCAGGACAAGCTGGCCCCATGGCTCCCAGCAGGACTTGTGGTCCCTGGGGGAGGGATGCACCACTTTTTTGTGTGGAACCCACAAGGCTCCCCTCTGCATCCTGATGTCAGTTTTCCTCTGGTTTCATCTCTAATCTCTCTGTTAGGTTTTTTTAATTTTAAATCCTGGCTTCGTCTAGAAACGATTGGGCTGCGCTCAGCACCGCCTGTCTTGATAGGTTTGAAATTCCTGGGAAACCTCAATACTGGCACTTTCTAAACACAGTGAGAAAAGCACAGTGGAATATTAATGGGAGAAGCACATTTTAAAGGGGCAACACCACTTTGTAATTTTCGTCTGTTAAAATATATCGGTCAGGGCAGCTTGGGGGAGTTGCAGCAAAGCCACAAGTGTTCTTCACAATTTAGAGCTTCTGTGTTTTAATTATTTCTTTTTTGCTGCCACTGTGAAAGATCCCTGGAGACAATGGGGCTGTGACACTGAGGAACAGGTTATCCTCATTGTGCAGGGAGCACCATAAAAAACACAAAACAGAGACACAGAATAAAATACATCTCCCTCTGTCCCTTCCCATTTTCCCTATTTTCTGCTGTTACAGTAGTTATGTTACATCAGCAGTGGGTAAAAAGGAAAAAAACAAACAGATGGAAATGTGTGTCTAAACTGACAGAGCCTTTGTAAATTTTAAGAACTATCTCAAGGAAAAAAAAAATAATAATAATAAAATAACAACAGTAATAATAATAATAGACATTCTACACTGTTATGGATTTTATTTATTTAAGCACAAATTTATGGAGCTGGCCACACACTAAAAATTGAAGAGTTTGGTACTGCAGTTGCTTTGGTGTATTTTTCAGCATTGTAATGGGCTACAGGGAGACAAAGGAGAATATGAATATATGGCAGTTGGTCTTTAGATTTGGGTGACATTTTTGCTTGTTTTAACTGTCTTTTTAAAAAACTTATTTTTCTTCTATCATGCTATTGAATTGCAGCAGATATTGATATAGAAAAGCTGGAATTATTTAATAACCAAAATTAGAAGTGATTTTTGTAGTATATTTCTTATTAACAACCTCTTGATTGATAAGGAATCCTGAGGTCCAGGCTAAACTCACCCATGGTGAGAAAGAGTGAGATGATAGATGGACATATTTCTCACCTTCAAAACAGGTTTCTTTAGAAAGCAGTAGAAAGCAAACCCTTTCATAGAGCATTAAAAAGCAAGCTCAAACATGACACTACTGTCACACCTTTCATGGTACTTTTTTTTTCAGGAGTCTGCCCCTGATTTTAGTCCAAAGGAGCTGCTCTTTGAAATGGCGTGTCCAGCTTTGGCGTTTGCCTGCTGAGGAAGAGGTATGCCCTTTGTCCCTCACCTGCAGATGGCTTGGATGCTTTTACTTTCCTGAAGCGAGCACTTCCCAGTGGGCTGCATTCAGAAAGTGCTTTTCATAGCAGTAATACAGAACCAAGTTACAAAAGAATATTAATCCAATACATTCCAAAATTCAAATATGTGTGATTAATAAGCATTATTATCTATAAATAAGGCTCTAATGATACTTTGGCAGTGTTGTAAACACAAGAATCAGAAGCAATTATTGTCATTATTGTTCTGCAAGTACTTTCCATGAATACCAAATGGATATTACTGTCCAGCTCCTCGGCACATAGAAATCCTGTAAAGAAACAGTTGTCAGTCAGTAAGGCCTGGCTGACTGCTGTTAACTACATTTTTCTAAAGTGCAGTGTACCTAAAGACAAAGCCCCTGAGTTATTGAGAGTAAGATGGTTGATTAAAAAAATTATTCTTTGTGTTTTGCAACCCCCCAAAAAATGTTAAATAAAGCCTATGATAAAGTTTTCACATCCTGTGAGAAGAACAGTTTGTGTGATGGCTGTGATTAAAAAGGGAAATGGATTCTCTGACAAAAAAACTGCCTTTCTTTATGTGAAACCCACAAAGGTGAGAAGGTCCCAGCTAAAAGGTGGTGTGTAAATAATGACACTCCCCAACTGTAAGAGGTAGCCCACTGCTAGTTTTCAAGGCATGGGATCAAAGGGGCATTCAAGTCTCATCACATTTACCTCTCCCCAGTTTGTACAGGTTCCATAGACTGGAGTCACATTGTCGGCCAGGTCCCGCTCTCTGTGACACCCCCACTTGCCTGCCTTTGGCAGTCTCACCTTCCTCACCAAACCTTGCTGCTTTAGACGGCGCCAGCCAACAGCAGCATTTTGTGGTGGGTGTCATGTTGTTCTTCAGATGCCAGGGTGTCATCGCGAGCGGGAACAGTGTGGGTCTGACTCTCTGAATATGCAGAAAGAAAAAGTAAAAAAAAACCCAACCAAACCCCAAACAGTAAGCTTTACTTTCCAAATGTGTTCAATTCTTCTTTCCTCTCCTCGATATTTGGGGCGTGCAGCACCCTATACCATGTGGTTTAACATTTTGTTCTCTATTTGTAGGTCAACATTTCCATGATTAAACTTCATCCTTTATTCAGCCTGTTCTGGCTAGGCTTTGCAGCACATGTGATATAAGCTGTTTTCACAGCTAGTAGGCCAAATCTTACTCTGAATAAGGGAGCCAAACATATGTGACTGAGTCAGACACTTAAAGCAACTCCCTGGTAAATGGGAGATAACTCCAGGTGCAGTGATGAACACTGAGAACCAAAAAAGTGGGAAGGGTGGCCAGCATTCCTCTGTACAGGAAAAGAGATATTCTATGCACACAGGCGATGAAATCATAACCCTGCCCAAATTTTGTTCTCCCACATTTGCCTAAGGATACAGAGCCCTCTTCACTGGAGTTACTGGAATCTTTCCATTCGGGGTCAGGACAGCCTGGAGTAGGCTCAGCTGCAGCCAGGCATGAGACAGGTTGTGCAGGAGGGGGATATGGTGGGAGGAAGTGAGGCCCTTTCTGAAGAGCCCACCTTGCATTTGCAGCATGCACAAGGAAGTTGCTGGGGGAACATGAAGCACTTTGCATATGGCATTGCATTTCTTTCAGTTGCCCTCTTTTCATCACCTTTACCTGTCTCATTTATTGACTGAGGTTGGTGGTTCTTCTTTTACCTGGGGGCAGGTATCAGTTGCTTTAAGTCCATGGGGTTGGACTGGGTGACTTCTCTGCATAAATTTCTGGAAATGCTGGCCACCCAGAGTAAGAGTTACCCAACCCAATAATCCGAGGTGCAGAGGATTTGTGTTGAAGGACTCTCTTTCTGGCTGTGTGGCCAGCAGCCCTCCTCCTGTCCTTTGTTACCATCATCTGGTAACTGTTAGGTGCTGAGAAGCCTACAAGACTTGTCAGGCACAAACAGAAGGGCCAAGGGAGTAGATGGGCGTCATAAATAATCCAGACCTCCTGTGTGGTTGCTGTGTGACATTCCTACCTTCACCAGGGCTGGACTGGTCTGGGATGTCAGATTGCTACGCAGCAAGTACCAGAGTTGACTAGAGTGAATAGCAAAGGAGAACTCCTGCAGTAGGTCCAGAGAGGACATGTTTTTCTCAAACAGACATGGCTGTACCCATAATATTGCAGAGAGAGGACTGTGCTTTATGTCTCTAATTTGGTGTTGAACTGTAGCATCACAGAGGGCAGTTGACAATGAACTGTTTCCCACAGGAACAAGCCTTCCAGAGTTCCACTTGGGCTGCCTCCCTCAGCTAAAGGAAATACAGGCGATGTAGATAGATGTAGGACTTTCAGTGACTTTTGCTTTTGTCTTTTTTTTTTTTTCATGGCACCCCTTCTTTAGCTTTTGTTCATCTGCTTTGTTTTTTTCAATAGCTTTTTTTCATTTAGGAAAAAAATGTTCCCATCCAAAAGTAAATCAAATCTGTTTTCTCGATCTTCAGTGGATAAACTCAAATAATGATTATTGTGGCTGTGTGAGTACTGTGCTATCCACAGTTTAGAAAGTCCTGTCTTGGTAACACACACAGGATGAAATGTATGCACTAGTCTGGGGCTTTGAGGGCTGGCCTCATGGTTGGGCAAATCCCTCATCGTGCATGTGGGCATCTGATCAGCTTCTCTGCTATTGCATTGGGAAGAAAAGCTGGCTACAAGAAGTTACTGAGGACTTAATAGAGGGCAGGTGCCTTCAATGCTTGTCATGAGGTTAGAGGATGCTGCCCTGAATGAGGCACAGAAGTAGATGATTTGGTCTGGTGTGCCTGGTGACATGAAACGGTGCAAGGCAGGGGGAGGATGAATTGCACACTCCTGGAAAGCAATAGGGAGAGTAGCATGATTTTGCCCTCGCTGGAATGAAAGTTAATCCAGAATACACTGGAATAAATCCCTACGTGCATCAAAGATACATTGGTGTCAAATTAGTGGAAAGGAGAGGGGAATTGAGGCCAACTAAGATCTGCCGATAGGGTCAAGTGGCCTCTCTGTCCTTGGGTCTACCTTTTGGAAACATAAACTGCACCTCAGTTTCACTTTTAAAAATGAGCCAAATCCTGATGCGTACAAAAAGCAAGAGGAGTGGAAGAAGACGGGAAAGTTCTGTGATGAGAGTGCGAGAGAATCACAGCATGGTACAGTGATGTGAAGTTGAGGGAAAGAAAATTAAGATTTTTCTATCTGTTTTTTTAGACAAAAGAGGTTAAGTTACTGTTTTCTTATGCTTAAATAACAATCTCCCTCTTCCATGTTATAAAAGATCTTGGGACCATACAGGAATGAATTAAGACTGTGGTACCAGACATAATTTCAAGTTAATAAAGAGATGGTGTGTTTTGTATTATCTTTTCTCTTGTTTCTGATTGTCTTTTTTGGGGGGTTGATATTACCGTAAGTAAATACATTTGCCTTTTGTTTCACTTTCCTCTGGTGACCTATTTCATTTAATTAGAAGGAAATGTATAATAGGAAATGAGTATCATCACACTGGGCTCCATCCAAAGCCTGTGAAATCATCAGGAACCTTTCCCGGGCTCTTCACTAGCACCAGGTCTGGCCTAGCAGAAAAAAGGGGCTATTTCCACCTTATCTGGAAGAATGTGTGCTGCCAGCATAAAAATATTATAGTCCTCATTTTAAGGTCTGGCCCAGATACTAAGGAATGATTTTGCTACTGCATATGCCTCTCTGTGCCACATGTTTCACATCTGCGGCAGCACGTTAAAGGATAAAGGTTCCTAAAACTTTAACTCTGAATATACATATAAAAAGAAGATACAAATTAAGGAAAAGATAAAAGATATTGATGGAAGTAGAGGAGATGCTCTTTAACATGCATATTATTGACTCAATAGATTGTTACGGCTTCAGAGCTATTAGGGTCTGCTGTGTCAATGTGTACTTAGGGACTGTTTAATATGCAGATGGTTGACATGACAGACTGGAGCCATTACAGTCTATCATGTCAGGGGGGATGCATGAATACGCACTTTGCCAACACTGTAAAAAGTCCCTTTAAAATGCAGGAGCAGTTTTTAAAAATAATTTAATAGATTCAGAGTTTGGATTTATCAACAGCAAAAATTATTTCCAAATTAAGTCATTCTCCATGTGGAATGTGCAGTCAGGAGTACAGGGTGTAATCTCAGATACGCAGCTCCTATCAAATCTTGTAAAATTAGCTATTGCACTTGTGCATGTGTAGAAGAGATCAGAATCTATCTGTCGGCATGCGTCTTTTTGAAGAATGTAGTTTTGTCTTTTTGAGGGGTAAGGGAGAATGTCGTCTCTTTTTTCATTCAAATAATCTTCAGTAGCAATTAAATAGCTTATGCTACCTAAGAGATCAGTTATTACAAGATAAGCAGCATGACAGTTTGGAAAACCGAATAAGTCTTTGATTATTTACTAAGTTTTGATATCTGCTATTTGCCTCGAAATGCTAAAAAGTGAAGTATAAGATACAAACATGAAAGACTCATTTGATCATCATAAGGAAAGGAATCAGTAGTTTTGCTTTTCTTTTCCTCAACAACTTATTTTTTATTAAAATAGCAAAGCCAAGTGTTGTGTTTAATAAGATATATTTTTTTCATTTGAATATCAAATGGAAAAATACAATTAAAATATTTCTACTTTTACATTAATTGTAGGCTATATTTCAGCAACGCATATATCTAAGAAGCTCAGCATACACATTTGGTATATATTAGATTCTTCTAACAGATGCCTAGACCTCTTCCCCTGATTTTTAATGTTCTTTTTTATGGTAGTGATCCAGGGACATTTTAATTTGCAAGCCTGTGAATTTGGAAATAATACTTGTAGTGGGGCATTATGTCTAGTCCATTCCCTCTAAGTTTATTGTCCTGTGTCACCTAGCTCTGATTTTAGCTGATTTGCTGGACTGAGTCGCACTGTGCAATTCCAGCACAAAATTCACTGAGCAAAAGCACTCTGCCTTGCAAATAATAGTAACTGTGCAGTATTATAAAGGCCTTTCCTCTTATCTGTGGGACAGCTGGGGGACAAATCTTTCTAAGAAGTGCATTTTCAGGCAAATGTGATGGCTGATTTTTGACAGCTCATTTTACTGCCTGGTGCTAACAGGGAGACCACTGAGGTAATCAGGATGTGGTGGTGATGGATAGGGCAAGTACCAGGAGGTAGAAATGGACATTTCCCATAATCTGTTACACACAGGTGCTTCTGGGTCTTCTGTGAGATTTCTACAATGACACAGGAAAGCCAGGAAAAGCTTAGGGAAAAAGAGGGGTCTGGGAAAACCCAGGATATGGCTTCTTCTTACATCTGAATGAATTCACCCTATGCCCCAGGAGAAGTCCCTAGCAGGAGATGCCTCTCCTTGTGCTGAGTTACCTCAGCAACAAGGAAGGACCAAGCAAGAGGAGCCTGAGCTGCTGGAAAGTGTATCATAGCCTCAAACTGCATCAGTGCCAATGGGAAAGATGCACCTTGCTCCTTCCCCAGCTCCTGGAAGGCAGGCACATCCCTGTGGTTGCTCTTGGCAGCTGGTGGCAACCACAGCTGCAGGAGTGGTGGTCCCCACAGCCCTTCTTGCTCCATCTCTGACCATCGTGGTGGTTGGGACAGGGGCAATGTGGCTCTCCAGGACTCTCTGCCCTTTTTCCCCAGAGCAGCCCTGGAAGCTCCATATCCCTTTCTGTGTACCCATGTGCAGGGAAACATCATCAGCTGAAAGAGGCACGTATGAGGGTGCAATGTGGAGTGCTGCATTACCTGGTGCTAATCAATAAAGTGAAAATGTAGCTTTTTGACAGCACTTGTAATTCTGACTATTGCAATGGTGTACCATTTCTTTGAATGCACTATGCTTCTGTGCCCCATTAAAGCATGGTTGGCATCGCTTTCAACTATTCACAAATGCTGAGATGTTGAAAAATGTAACATTTACAAAAGATACATCTGGTGTATATTTACAAGGCTCAGGAATCATTTAAATAGTGCCTGTGCCATCACCATATTAGGAGAAAAGTTAGTCCCAGCCGCATATGTGAAATCAGTAGTCGAACATGTGCTGGTTGAAAGTCCACTGCTATGACAGAGGATTTTGGGGTGTTAAATGTGAACATATCAACCTAGGTGTAGCACCTGATTGAGATAAGGATAGATGCACGTGACATACGTGATAACTGCCCATAGACACCTGTTTCAAACGGCATGGTCACAAGAGGGTCATGGGTTTGGAGGAATAAATCCTTAAATATTTTTTTATTAAAGAAGAATCTTTGGCTTCTCACTGGGAGATGTCATCATACCTTTTCCTGTTCTTCAATGAAAATTGTAAGACCTACATAGCTAAGAATCAAGAAGAAAGCTATTGAGCAGCTTCCTTTATATCACATAACATGTCAAGGACAAAAAGGTGTTTGTCTTCTCCTGCCAGTGCAATACCACTTAAGTTACATTCGAAAACTATTTTTTAATTAATGCAATGGGTCATGTTTTCACCACACTAAGGCAGGAAATTCAAGGTAAACCAGATACTCCTTTTCTCAGTCAAACACACATGAATTAAGCATCTAGCATCAGACTTAATTTCAATTTCTAGGTCTGTAATTGAATCTAGCTCAATGTGAACTTTTTTTTCTGCACCATCACATTGATATCTGGATGTTAGTGACATTATTTAAAGCAACAAATCAACCTATAGGACTGTGTTCAACTATATGTCATATGACAGTAAATGGAATAAAAAAAATGTTTCTTTTCTCTAGGGGCAGATTTGTTAAAGAGTTTTCATCTTTTGTCAAGATATTTAATCTTGGAATGTTTTTAAAAAAATGCAGTTTGTACAAGTGCAGATTTCTGCATGCACAGTTTGCCTGATTGCTAATTTGGCTGAACACACTTAGGCTTAACACAGGCAAATGAGAGAGGAAAGATAATTTTTGCATATATCCTTCTGAGTCAAGTGTGAGTCCCTGGACTCTATAAGGGAAGCAGGCATCCACTTTTAGGGCTGAAGGCTGTCACTCTGGATCACCCTGTACATCAGTCTCAGTTCATGCATGTCAATGAGAACAAATCCTAACAATGAGCTGTTGAGTGATGCCAGCAGAAATGCATGTTTCTGAAAGCTTCAGGGTTTTGGAGAAAGCAGCTGAAGGCGACTCTGCGGCACTCACCAGTGCTGCCTTACTGAAGGAGGGTGAGAGTTTGGCACAAGCCTCCCACGTAATGGACAATTTTGAACACACCTTTGTTTTTCAGCAGTCTGAGTAAAGCTGGTATGGGACTATAGAATTAAACCAAAATGCCCAACCATATTATTTCCTCAGAGGGGTTCACTACAGAACAACCTAACCTAAATTATTAGCGCTACTAATAATTACTATTATTCATTGCTTTTGGTAAGCCTGTCGCTCCATCACAGTAGCAATCATGTGCTGGGATGTGTACTGCTTAGGACATCAGACTCCTTTGGAAGTGGATGATTGTTTAATTGATAGATTGTAAAGATGGGCTGACCTATTGCTTTTTCATGTTTTGCTTTGTTTCTGTTGCCTGGACTCTCGCAGCTCCTTAGTATCTTTCCTGATCCATCATGTCAAGCTGGCAGCTGTGCCTCCTCTACACACTGCCTGACTGCCCACCACGAACCAGATTTCACTCTCAGACGCTTGGTGTATCCTCCTCCCTCACTGTCTTCTCACTGGAGAGCTGATTTTGCCTGCACCTCTATTAAGCAGCTTGATTTTAATGGGAACAACGGCTTCTGCCATGGGTCCTTCTCAATCCAGGGCACTAGGCATGCAAGGACACAGGAGGGCACATTCCCAGATGTCCCTAGGTGTGTACTATGTATCCAAGATCAGGCTCTTGCCTGACATCTGTGGACTGAGCCCCCCACTCACACAACTGAATGGTCCTACTCAATACCGTGGCCATTTTAATTTGGAGATATTTCCTACACTCTGTGTAACTTCTGCCCTCACTGTGGGCTCTCTGCTTTTCTCAAGCTTAATTTCTGTGTGCCATGCAGGCCCTCAAAGGATGGCATCTTAACAGAATAAATTCCATTTTACATTGGTCCACCTCGAAAATTTTCCTCAGAGGTTTCCACCTCCTCCCTAACACTAGGAAAAAATGATTGGAAAGTGGTTGAAATGTTATAAGCAGATTTTCAAGAAGGAACAGATTTTTTTTTTACTGCCAAGCTGTATAATAGGTGTTTTTGAGAGGTCGTTAACTTCAACAGTATAGTCAGAAACAGTGTTACACCCCATACTGCATCCATCATTAAGCAATTAAGTTACTCATAGGCTTTTACATTTATTTACCTTGATGGAAAGATATGTTTACTGAACCTGAGTACAAATCAACATGAGAAGGTGGAAGTTCAGAGTAAATTTGACTAATGATGATGTGTTTTCATCCCTAAAAGAAAGAAAAAAGCCTCCCTGCTTTTGATGCTATTTTATCTTCATTGGAAGGGATCCGAAATGATCCCAACTGTCATGTGAGCACTCAGTTAGGCTCAGATCCTCTTTGATTGCAGCTGAATATCTCTTTCCGTTGGCTCATACCTTCCCTTATATGAATACAGTGTACAGCACTTCAGGTTGTTTGTTGAATAGCGCTTTAACTCTTCCTCTGTGAATGCCCTTACAATTATATCTTTAAGCAAAATGTGGGCTGTGGCCGCCTGTGCCCGAGGAGATGTTAATGTGGCTGCATCACTCATGTGAAGGAAAAATTTCCTCTTGGTTTCAGAATAACTTCTAAAATACGAACAAGCCATATTTCTTCCAGTGAAACTTAATTATCTCTGCTTTTTTTTTAGGCCTGCTCTCTTCTCCACTCTTGGTACAAGGATTTTTCTCTCTCCAAGTAATTCCTCAGCATTGCCTTGAAAGACATCTGCCACACGTGAGCATCCTCCACAATCTCTAAGATACTTTTGTTGTTTTTCTTCTTTGAACATTTGTTTTTTTGAGATGACATTGACAGACATGAGGCCTAAGTCTGGAGATGTTCTGTGGGTAGAACTCACATTTATTTCAGTATGTTGAGCAGCTTTAGGATCTGATCCATATTGAAGACTAACATGGCGTAATGAGGCCTGGGCATATAAAACAATATGTATTCTAACACAGCTCACTCAAAACAAATATGTTCCCTTCTCCCGGGCTGGTATAAACAAACAATCTCCATTGTGTTCCACACTGTTCTGTTGCACTGCCTTGCACATAGCAAGAGCTTGGCTTCCCTGTTCACAAAAATGGGATCTCCATCCTGTGACATGGAGCTTTCTGCTGCATGCCCAGACAGATCGGTACCTTAGGACACTGTTCCTAAAAACTGACATTAGGTCTGGTGTTAAATCCTAAATGCTTTATGGGCAAAGTTTTCTTGTACAGATATAATTAAGAGGGTCTTGTTTCTGAGTCCTGTGCACTTCAGTCTGACAAAACTGACTCTGGATTGCACAGTTGGAAAGCAGAGAATCAGTGTAACAGTTGATGCAAGATCTGCTCATGCTGACCCATAAAATCTTCTCCAATATCTAAATTTCCTTGAGATAAAAATCAGCAGCTGTGTGAAAAATTCGTGATGACTCGAGGTGGAAACATTAGCAGGGGAGAGTTCAAAACTCATGTGTGAGATCCATTGTCTGTGTGAAGTGCAGCAAGTTTGAACCCAGGTGTTCCTTGTGTGATTGAACTCAGACTTTTATGCCATTCTGCAAAGCCATTACCCTCTCCTGTAACTTGTGCTAGAAGCGGAGTGAGCTGTTCTGGCACTGAAATGATTTCATTGTTAGGCTAAGTGTTACACAGATGGCATTCTTAAATGTAAAATTCTTTTTATGATTCTTTCAATTTCATATTTATTTCATTAGATCATTATTTATGTTAAAGAGTCACTATTAATCTGAAACGTGCTCAGCTTGAAAGAAAATGTTGAGAGGAGTTTCAGGTATCTGATCCTTAATCCTTTAGTTTTTGTGTTTTGCATTTTCCTATTTAAAATGGTTTTTTGTGTCTCTAGGTGCTATGTGACAGATCCACACAAACAACAGAGGGGAAAGAGCCTCACTTAACTGATTAGAGGAGTGAAGCAGTGAAAGGGAATATGCACAAAGCGCTGCCAAGTTCACAGAGCAAAGGAAAAGATAAAAAAAGAATCATTTCACTGGCTTTTTTTTTTTATAGAGAGTAATGTGAGGTATTTCTTATACTAGCAGCAGGGAAACAATTTTCAGACAAAAATGTGATTTCTTAATCAAGGGTCTCTAATTCAAAATATATTTATTTAATAAACAGTAATTATGATAGCAGCAACTACTCATTCATATCAATAATTCATTCAGAAGTAAACCATATCAACATATTAGCATTTATTTTTCCATTTAATAGGCTGTGATTTAAAATAAATGTAAATCATCATAATCATTCAGCTCCATATGCTGGGAAAGAAAAAGTCACCTTAAACCAGATGCATATTGTGAAAAAAAAAAGAAAAAAAAAAGAAAAAGGGGAAGACAAGTTGTTCTAAAGAAACAGCATATGGGAGCAGATCTTGAGCTAGGGTAAAGATATGGTGCTTTGTAGATGTCAATGTAGTTTTAGATTAGATATTAAGAAGAAATTCTTCACTATGAGGATAGTAAGGTACTGGAACAGGTTATCCAGAGAAGCTGTGGATACCCCATCCCTGGAATTGTTTAAGGCCAGGTTGGATGGGACTTAGAGTTGCCCGGTGTAGTGGAAGGTGTCTCTGCCCACGACAGTGGGGTTGGAACTAGACAGTCTTTAAGGTCCCTCCCAACCCAAACAAATCTGTGATTCTATGATTCGATGATAGCAAGGCTGAGTTATGCCAAATGAGATTCTAGTCAGTAATTTTCAAGAACTGGGAGTCACATACTGATTTCTGTCTTTTAGAAAATAGATAAATATGATTTCTCTCAGTTTTAATTAGGAAAAGGCAGTATGCGTGATCAAGAAAATTCTAGTTTGAAGTTGCTTATGTATGGAAAAAATCCATCCCTGGCTGGGCTTCGCAAATGAAGATTTGGGATGGAAAAAAAAAAATAGGCTCTTTGCAAGTCCTAAGCTGACTCTGCACTTGTACCTGCTTGTGTGCTTGGAGCTGTATTTATTTTTCCTGTCTCTATTTAGACAAACCCTCTCCTAACTTGTACCCCTGATTTACCCACATCATTTTGTCAGCTGACAGCTCTTTTTCAGCTCCCTAACCCCTCAGCACTCCTGAGGCACTCCTGCTGAACACTTTTGTTTCTGTACCCTGTCTGAGATCCACAAAGTGGCATTTGGAGGCTGTGGAGCAGGGTTGTACTTCTTAGGAAAATTTTTTTTTTTTTGCTTTGGACACAGGGAAAAAGCAATGAAGGGCTCAAGCCCCGGACAGCATATGCCACTGCTGCTACAGCGTCTCAAGCAGTTGGTGTAGGTCTTGTCTTGCTGCTTTTTTGTTGCTTTAGCTTTCAGTGGGTGAGGCTGTGGTGGGGAGTAGGGTGTCACTGCTCTACTCATTCTGTTCCCACATCCAAGCTAGCACTGATGGCCTTGCCACAGCCATGTGGCCCTCTTGTCCTCTGATGAGCTCAGCAAAGCCCTTTCTCTCCCATAGACAGAGCGTCCCATATTCCGGTAGGGAAAATAAGGCTGTGCATCACTCCTTTCCCTGAATTATTGCAGTGATACCCTTAGAGGACTGAGGGAGGTGGTGGCTGCAGCCACAACGCTGTGAGCATGGTGCAGGTTAACTCTGTAAAAGGGTGTTTTCATATCCTTGCAGGTGAGTTTTGTCACCTGTATAGTTATCATGTCACTTACTCTTCCAAGGCCATTGGTGCTTTCCCAGTAATGACTGCCCTGCACATGTAGCCTGCTCTGCACGGGGATCTATAGTCTCAGGTAGTCAAGTTAAAGTGGTACCTGACTTTTTTTTTTCCCAGTCTCTGCCATGCTTTACATTGTTAGTATTCCTCCAACAATTTTTAAGGAGAAAAGTGAGTCATGTTTGATTTTCCCTATTTTAGTAGAGAAGAACCATGTTTTTTCCACAAGTTATTGCATTATTCTTCTCTTTGGTGTGGCTCTGATTTAGTGCTGGATGAAGCTCAAAAGGAGGATTAGTGTAGATAGATTCCCATATGCTTGGATGCATTTCTGAACTGTGTACTATCCTCGCTACTTTTGATAGAAAAAGCTGGGCTATAAACCTGATAAGAACAGGCTTCCATGCAAAGATGTTTAGTATTTCCTGCTTCCATTTGGGCCAGGAATAAGGCACATCCAGCCCCTTTTGGCCCTGCTGCTCTTGGTCATGGGTTTGCCTGAAATTTAGTAAATCACAGTGGTGGAAAATGAATGGGGGAGTGAAAGGAAGTTCATTTTTCTCCACTTTAATATAGGTTAGATTAGGGTTTAGTTCCAGCTTTGGCAGAAACTTTGCTGGGGAATGGACACAGGTAGAATGTTTTTATTTTAATAGAATTGGTTCATCTATCTTTTAGGTAGTTTCACTGGAGTGCATGTCCATTTTTACGGTTCTGAGTAAAAGAACTTGTGCTGCTTTTAAAGAGCTGTACCTTCTGGGAAAATTAGAGCTGGCTGTAAAACTCTGACTGTATTGTATTCAAGGCAATTGCGAGCATAGGAAGCGAGAAAGAAGAAGAGAAAGATGAAAGAGGAAAGAGAGGGAGGCTTCCCAAAGATAAGCTGCTACAATGAGTCATGCTACTCCTCCATGCTTGGGGGGCTTAATACCTGATCATTTTTCTAGCTGGTAATCAAATTGTTAAATAGTGTAACATCAAGGAGCACTGAAGTTGATCCTAAAACTGTTGTTGTACTACTGTTCGGGAGTTTTCTTCCTTAATATTTTTTTTAAAAAGAATTTCTCAATAGTACTCTTATCAACTGATCATTTTTCTGATTCTCCCCTCCATTACAAGGGTTTCCAAGTTTATGAATGAAAGGCTATGTTTTCTCAAACAAATCATCCACTCCTCGGTCTGTTACTAAAGTACTGTTAACTTACAAGATTTGACTGAAACCTCAGGGTCTGCCAGCTGGATGTTTGAGGAGTCCACGATGGCTAGGTAAAGAAACACCTTTTTCACATGATCCAGCCCAGCTCCCACGTTGCCCCACAAGTTTCTACCAGTACAAAAGCTGACATTGCCTGCAAGAAGCAACTCAGATTACGGTCTCTTCCAGCTGCATTGCCCCTGACCCCAATCCTGCCCTGGGCTGCCCACGGTCTGCCCTCCTCGCATGCACAGAGACTTCAGCTGCAGCTCACTGCCTGCCAGCACTTACTCTGGTCTTGAGGGTGGCCTTGAATGCATTTTAAAAGGCAGCACAGACGCTTTGTGAGGAGGATAACATGGAATGATTATTTTAGGGCAGATTTTCCCCTAAAAAAATAATAGTTCTACATGCACACAGTTTGATCTTCACACAAAGGATTTATATAAGAATTCACTTCTCTCTGTCAGGGACAAAAAAAGCATGCTGGTGGGATTTAGGGAAGTGTGCAGGCTAAAGGATAGCAGCAGACAAAAGGAAATTTTTCTTGTAAGATCATCTGTGCAGCTGGAACTCTGGTATCGTTGTGATTTGAAAGCCTGTAGGTGTTGCCTGGCTGGAGCAAGGGACAGTGCTTCTTTGGCACCCTCCTGACATGCAAATGTGGCCAGAAGTTCTTAGAGCAGTCCTCAACCCCGTCCCTTGTTTTGTACACACAGATGCATGCACATTACTTTGCTGTCAAATGGCTGTTTTGGGGAATCAGCCACCCAGGAGGTAAACTGTACATAAATGATCTAAGGGTAAAGGTGGCGGAAGAAACTGTTTCCTTTACATGCTGAAGTAGATACAAAACAGGCACAAAGTTCACCTGGACTCTCAGGAATAGAATAGCTGCAATGGCTCTAGACCAGCAGAAATCCAACATCGCTGACTCCTAGATGCCCTCTAAAAATGTGCCTATATCTCAGGCCGGAGTGACTTAACAGTAGGTTCGCTAGAGAAACAGCCCTGACAGCCCAGCAAGAACCCAGCAGGATATGAAAGATGCTCCCCTGTGGCACCTGCACCTCCAAAAGTCTTTTTAAGGTCAGGTCTACGCCTACGAGTAGAGCACTGCCTAGCTCTGTCTTTGTGGCATGAAGGAAACGTATGTGTGAGTCTGGAACTGCTCAGATTTTTGTCTGTCTCAGGGGGGCCCCATTCAGCCTTCTCTGCCCTTCCCAGGGAGTGAGTCCCAGATCCAAAGACAGATCCTAATGATATAGCCTGTGTACTTGCTTCTAATATAACATGATGCTTAAAAACTGAAGATAAGCAGGGATGAGGCTTTAGATCTTCCTCAAATCTCAGTGTAACTTTGAGGTTGTCAGACAGTACTGAAGTGAGAGATCTGGAGTAGGAAAATTAGTGAACACAAAAGTCATGATATTTACTCAGTTTATGCATTTTCTCTCCTTTTTTTTTATAAAACCTGCATAACTGGCATGTAATTGTTTTACTAAGTGAGTCTTGAAAGCAAAAGTCTTGATAGCTGTCACATATCTTCTTTGTAGTAAAGTGTGTTGTCCTCAGAAGATAATCAGTAGAACTTGCTCAGAAAAACTTAATCAGCAGAACTGAGCGTATTGTCAGTGCTTAACAAATAATAAATTATAACAGCAGTTCCTTTTGACACAACCTATCAAACTTTTTCTTTCTTTCTCGGATGCTTTACTCACCTCTGTTTAGGATTTAATACCTACTACAACTCTGTTTTTTATGGTTGAGAGGACTGGCGATACAACCTAACAGGATGGAAGTATTAATTGAAATGAAATTTTGACAAATGGCAGAAAAAACCTCCAAGAAAATTCTTGGGCTGTTCCTTTTCACTTACTGATATTGCTTATAAGTCTTAAAAACTGAATTAAAGAATAGATTTGATCTTTTCTATTGTTATGATGTAAAACACTCTGCTTACATGTTAGTAGAATCACTTTCAAATTTCCTGATAGTCTGTTTTTTTTTAAAGACAGACAAATTGCCTTTTCTTTACAGAAAGGTGAATGTATCCAAAAGCACATCTATTATCATTAATTATTTTTATTACAAGGAGCTTGGCTAGCTCAGAGAGTTGTTAACATACCTGCGGTTATCACTTCTTTGTCAACATTGTAATTTGGCCTGGGCTGGGAGTTACCGGTATTCATTTCATTTGCTGTTCATTTGGTAGTTTCTGTGTAATTTTTTTTTGAGTTTTATTCACTTTCAACAAGACATATATTCATGTCATAGAGGAAACTACCGGGTCATCTCTAAGCTGCCACTAATTGTCACAGGCTTAAGCGGACCCATTTCAATTTATCTCAGTTGAGGATCTGACCAGTGATCACAACGGGCATTAATTAGCAGATGTGTTATCAGAATCCATGGAGATGTCCTGGTTTGAGTGACAAGAGAGGTGCTCAGCTGCTGCAGCCGGTGGAGCCGTGCCAGTTTGGCAGCTGATGGCACAGCACCCGATGCCGGCAGGTGGAAAGTCCAGGTCACCCCTGATGGAGCCACAGTGGTGGCTTCTGTCACAAGTCTCCATGTAGAAGGAGCCCTGGAAGGAGCCCAGAACACCAAGCAGCTGGTTGTATTAAAGCAGAAGCAACCCAGGGCACCTGGGAGTGGGAAGGCAGGGAGAGAAGAGAGTGAGAACGCAGCACTGAACCGACTCATCCTGAAGCTGGGTTTGCACAAGAGATTGCACTGCTAGTGACAGGGGAGAGCCACTAGCAAATGTGTTGGGGCTCTGGCTTTCCATGTGCGCCATATGAACTGACACTCCAATGCCACTTGTGCATGCGTGGCAGAAAGGTGGGGCAGACACATCTAAAAAGAGGGGATCCTAAGAAACAGTTGGCTTTCACAGAAGCAGCTACTGACAGTAGCAGTGCTATTGTGGCTGTAAACTAGGGGTTCAGACCATGACTAGAAGAGTGTCTTGAGCAGGTCATAGGGGTGAATGGAGAGCAGGAATGTGAAAAAATTTGAGATGCTGCACCTTTGTGGGGAAAAAAGAGAGTAATACCCTCCCATTTTGCTTATCTGAGTTCAGCATGGGTTAAAATCAAGGCAATAACCTGTGCAGACACTAATTGTTCAGTAGCAGCCATTTCATCTTCTTTCTCATGCCCACATACCATCACAGGATGGTGGGTAGGAACAAGTTGTCAAGCTAATAGTGTGGGACCTTTGTAAAGATTTACGGCCTCCCAATATTTACAGGACAAACCTGGACCACAGGTAGCTCAGGGAGTAATTTTTTCAGGTGCTGACACAGTTTCAAAATTTCCTTAAGTAAATTGACCCCATGCAGTTTGATTCACTGGGAAAAAAAATCTTTTCATTGTGTGATCTTTTTATCGTAACCCAGGAAAGGAAGACAGCAGGAGAGTGAGAGCTAAATAGTACTGGGAATGGAGAAGTCTTTAGACTGGTCCCAGACCTCTGACCCTGTCGATGGGAAGATGCAGAGTATTTGAGGAAGGTGCAGATTTTGTCACCCTTCCTGTACACTTCTCCCACCGCTTAAAGCAAGATATGAAAATTTTTCTGTGAAAAATCTGGGTTCTTCTCTGAATAACTGTCTCTGGGCCCAAAGCCACAAAAGGGGATGACTGAGACTCATGTGGGATATAGATGTCCAAGTCCAGATTCCCAACCCACACACAAGTTCACCTGAATTTTTGATAAGAAGGATCTTCTTAAGACATCTAAAATCCACGTTCTGCTCCTGTCTCTGGCCAGTCACTAGCTCAGCTGAGTTGAACTTCCCAGCAGTTAATCCCAATTCACCTCTTCAAACTATCCATGCTTTGCTCACATGTCTATCGAGAATGGCCTGGCAAAGCATGTGTAACACAGGATCAGGACTGAGCAGTACATAAAGTACTGCAGCCATGTTCACTGTCATTCAAAGTAAATATCTTCAATATCTGCCCAAGCCCTTATCTCTTATCTGCAATGAAAGCAGGAACCCTAGCTAGGCAGCTACAACTAAATATTCATGGGGGAAGAGATTTTCCATACTTCCTGCAGAAGTGGTGCTGAAATGCATAAGGTTCTCTGGGAGGAGTTTAAGGCAATAAGGTGGAGAATAAGATACAATCTCCATCCCTATTCTGCTGAATTAACTTGCTGTTTTGGATTGGTGCAAGATAGAGGATCTCTTTTGGTATACTCATTGCTGTGTAAGGTGTTTCTTAAACATTGTCTTCTCAGCCTAATGAAAATACAGTGATTTTTCAGAAAAATCAGTAGAACATAGTCTCAAAGGATATGATGATTATTGGAGTTTTAATTAAAATAGCAGGTAAAATAAGTATTATGGTGTACTATTATTTCTAAAATAACAACAGAATAAAGATGCCCATTTCTTTCTTGAGTGCAATTTTCTAAATGAAAAAGTAAACATTAATATCTGCAGAGATCTTACTGATCTTGTATGATAATTTAGAAAAATATCCCTATTAGGGATAGTTATATATGCTTTTTGTTGGAAATGCAATCACAGGATATGCACATAGCTGCAATCTGTAGACAGATTAAGTAAATTAAATCACTCAATGTCTTTTTTCAATAGCTCTAAATTTAAAAGTAATTTGCAAAGAAAATACTCAGTTTCAATTGGTTTGTAATATCTGTTAATGATCTTTGGAAAAATTTCTGATAACATGCAGGAATTCCCTCAGGGACAGGGTTGTGAATAAGTGGATTTTTTTAAGTTTGAGATGTCATTAGCTAGTGATTTCTTTGAAGTAAAAAGCTGTTACAGAATAAATTGCAGAGGTATACAAGTGAACAGGACAATCATTTTTATGAATAATATACATTATTTTCACTGTGCTTTCTGCCCTCCAAAGAAATAATTTACAATCTAACTTGTCATTACAAACATCCTGGAATCACAACTGCATGTGCATTTTGTGCTTACTTTATGTATGTGCTCTGACTCTATATAAAAGTACAGCTTGGTGGTGTCAAACCACTGGTGTAAGGAGCTTATTTCCTTTTATTTTTTTTCCTTTTCTTTTCCCCCCAGTAGATAACTTTTTCAACCCACAAGACCGAAACAACTTCCCTTAATTGAAATGACTCCAGAACAGTTATTCCCTAGAAGACATCCTCCTTGATTTCTTGCGGGGCCTGTAAGATGACTGAAGTCGTAGGTAAGTGCAATCATGGAAAAAAGGGTCTCTATTCTCTTGGTACCTTGTTAGCATTAACATATTCTTAACAGTTCAGAGACAAATCAGATATCTATCATGCATCACCATAATAAGGTAACACTTCTCAGGGCAAATGAGATCTCCTGGCTTCTGTCCCCACCTTAGGATGTCTGAAGTAGAAAAGAGTGCCAGAGACACCACAGAACATGGGGAATGTTGTCCTGCTTCTGAGGTTCAGATATACAACTCAACCATGGGCAGCTGAGGATGGACTTTCTGCCTCGATAGGTTTCTGTGGGTAAGTCTGGGGTTTAGATGGGAACTGGGGACTCTCTGAAGGGCTGCTGGTCTGGGTAAAGGGTTACTAGGACACCCGTGTGTGCTGTCACACAAATCAAAAGATACAGCTAATTGCAGCCACTGAGCTTTGACTTCCTCACCTTTCTTTAAACCTTTTCTACCTGAAAAAACCTTACTGAACTTGGTCTGCTTTTTCATGATCTACAGGCAGGGCTGAAGACACACCATGCTAGCATGAGTATGGCTGTTGCCTCCAGGGTTCCCACAAAGGGCTGGAGGAGAAAGGATTTTTCCAGGTCTAGAAAGAGATATGATAGCCACTAGTTTGAAGAACCTCCTAGACTTTCCTGATCCTCTGAAGGCCCAGTGTAGGAGTTGGTACCTGCCCTGATAATCCATCAATAGATCAGAGAGCCCCTTGCTTCTCATACATAGATGTTTAATGACGCTCTGCAGTTAAGCTGAGAGTAGTGGGCCTTCCTGGCTGCTCCTCAGCAGCCCCTGGCATTGGTCAATCCTAAGATGCCTGGACTTTGACAGAGATCAATACCAGACCACATATAAGGAGATTCTCCCTCCTCACTATGCATTTAACAGTGTCACAGTTTACTATGGATTAAGATCCTGTCTTGGCACTGTCTGTTGACTGGCACACACCATGAACCCCTGAGATCATTAGACATTATTACATAATTGGATCCAGTGAAACTCACAGATCTTTTAAGGCTAGGAGCAACCATTATTGTCATCTAATCTTATCTTCTGTTTAATGCATGCTACTGAATTTAACCTAATCTGAACTTCGTGTGGAGATTTGCTTTTATGCCTAAAAATGCCTCCTCGCTTACAAATACGGTGTTGTTTCTCTCAGTACTAACTCTACAGCAGCAAGTTCCATTAATTAACTGTACATTGTTTGGAAAAGCAATACCTCCTATCCGTTTGAAATTCAATACCTTTTCGTTTCACCTTGCAGGATAGGAAAGATTTTTTTCCTTTGCTGCTAATTAAGTTTGAAGATCATGAGGATGAAATGTTATTTATATTATAGTCATGCTTAAGCAGGACTCTGGCACAGCCTGGAGATCCCACCACACAAAGTGAGGGAGACTGCGCAAGTCCTTCGGGGCTCAGACTATTTTAATAGACAAAAGGCACATTTTTGAGGAAGGTGAGTGATTTAACTGAAAAGGTTACCAGTCAAGTCAATGGATTTGTACCTCTCAATCACCTCTGACTTTCAGAAGTTTTAAAGAAAGGTAGGGAAAAGCAAAGTCTCTAAAAGACCAGAAAAATAAGTCAGGGATACGGTCAAGTCCCTGGAAAAGGATTTTCCCTTTTCCTGTAGTGACAGGACAAGGGGTAATGGCCTTAAACCGAAGAAGATTAGATTTAGATTAGATATTAGGAAGAAATTCCTTACTGTGGTGGTGGCAAGACACTGAAACAGGTTGCCCAGAGACGTTGTGGACTCCCCATCCCTGAAAGTGTTCAAGGCCAGGTTGCATGGAGCTCTGAGTAACCCAGTCTAGTGGAAGGTGTCCTTGCTCATGGTGCCGGCTTGGAACTAGAACTTAAGGTCCCTTTCAACCCTAACCATTTGATGATCCTATGATTTAATATAGGAAAAAAGATGTTACTTAACTCTGTGTTCTGTCCACTATCCATGCGTCAGACTGGCCTTCAGTGGCTGAAAGTTCTATGAGAGGACAGGGTACACTGTGGAAAATACCTTCAATATCTGATTCATGCAAGGGCCCAGAGCCTTCCAGAAGAACTGCTGGGGTCCAAGGACATCTTCTAGATTATCTCAGACAACATGTATTCAGATTTTATGGATAGGGTTCACTCAGTTTGTGTATGATTTGAATCGTAGAATGATTAAAGACATCTAAGATCATGGAATCCAACCATTAATCTAACACTGCCAAGTCCACCACTAAACCATGTCCCTAAGTTCCTTATCTGTGAATGTCCCATGAGGATAAATCTTCCCTGAGAGACAAGCTAACATTTATGTTCTTTAACTTTTCTCAAGAAATTTCCCATCCTTTTGACTTTTATCATTTTTATTACCATTCCCTGGACTTGTTCTATTTCCACTTTCTTTTTTCAGGAATGAGGTGACCAAATTTGAAGACAGTATTCAAAGTGAGGATGTGCCACTGATTTATATAATAGCATTATAATATTTTCTATATTATTCTCTAAAACTCTTATCTTTGTACAAACCCCATAAGATTCTTTTAATTCTTTGAACTACAGTGCCTTTTAACATCTGTAGTTTACTCTGATCACATTTTAACAAAGGAATAAAAGGCTTCATTTTTCACATAGAATTTTATTTATTGTTTGAACTTTAGAGGAGAAATTGGTTAACTTACAATTTAAAATTCTTGGCAATGTAGACTATAGGGCAAGAATATAATTATCAGCCCTTCTATACTTACTGTAGAAATGTGTGAGACTGAAAGTTAGTGTGTAAGGTCTTGACTCAACAGACTTGTCTTTTGTCTTATAAATGCAGACAAAGACATAATTTTGAGCTGCCAGCATCCCCAAAGATGTCAGAAATGTCATTCACCTGTACCTCCTTCCTGATGAAACATGCTGGAGCCATACATTTACATGCTGTTCAATCAGGACCACGCACATGTGCAAGTAGTACCTGACTTCTGCAGTCTCCCATTTACTGTACCACACACCTCCACACCAGGTCAGAGGAAGACCCCTTTGAAAATGAGGCACTTGATGATTGCAGAGGGTAAGGATCTTGCTCTCATGTCACAGCTTGGTGTTATGCCTTCATCAGGGTATTAGAAAAGGCTCAGGGAAAATGGTTACAGTTATTCTATTGCCTAAGACACTTCCTGCAGCTACTGCCTTTCCTTAGAATTACCAATCCAAGTGGTGACCCTGCCTGACCCTACTTATCTTGTAAAAGCTGACAAGATCACAGCCTGAAGCAGTATAGCCACAGGCTCAATACCGGCTACCAAAATGTCTGTTTAGTATTTTCAAGAAATGCTGCTCTAAAGATTTACAATACCAGCTGCTAGATACATGAACAACACCAGCACACAGCTCTGACCCCTGAACATTCAGCCCCACTTACACAGAAATTTGTGTTTCTCAAGAGGCCAACACCGAACTGCTAGCAAACAGTGATTCTCTACCTGCAAGCACACTGGATTTTTAGCACTATTTGATTATAAATACTAAGATATTAGGTAAAAGTATTTGAAAACTAGTTTGAGTTCAGAATTCATTGTTAGCTTTTTTTCATCAGTTGCATTACTGCTTTAGCAACAGAAAGAGCTCTGCCATTTCTGTGTAATACCTTTTTTTATTTCAGTGTAGAGAATTTTCTTCATCCTTCCATGACCAAAGTAGTTTTTCATCAGATGTTATTTTTAGATGAACTCTAAGTTTCTTTCCTAGCAAACATTTTAGCTGCACTGTATGAAAGGAAATGCACATTTCCCCAGATATCTCTAAGGATAAACACAGGTTTAAATATCCAAAAAGATCTTGGGGAACAATCTGGTTTATATATATACATTCATGTAGCAGATGCAGTAAGAGTTCTTGCAGAGTAGTGTGGGGTTTTTTAACCCTTTTCTTTTTAGAACAGCAAAGACATGGAAAAGACATTGAGGTCCTGTTGCTCCCATTGGAAACTTCTGTTGGCTGCAGCATGAGTTGGATTGGACCCAGAGAAACTGAATACACACAAGTAATGATGAGTTGGCCATACAAGCAAGGAAAATCACAGATAACAGGTGCACACCAATTAGCAATGTACCTTTTAGGTCATCCAATACAGCTCCATGTCACAATGAGATTGTTTCATATGGTATTTTTTTTTTTTGTACCTAGATTAAATGCCCCGGTGATGCCATGTCTCTAGGGAGAGGTTGTGCTGCCTACAGTATCTTTTGTCAGGAGTTTTTTTACTTTCTTAATATCATCATATTTCTTCTTTTTACAACCCTTTGCAAATTTCCTTCCTTCCCTTCATTGATATCTTTTAACTAGTGTGGTGATGTGTTTAGTTAACATTAAGCCAACCCATAGATATTTGGATCACTTAATCTTCCCTAACCTAGAAGTCCTTTCAGTTTTCTTGTTACTCCTCATCTATTCTAGTCACACTAGATAGCTTGTCAGTATCTTTTTTAGCTATGAGATTCTAAAGATACGATACATTTCTATAAACTAGCAACAGATCTGATGTACAGCTGAGCACCATTCATGTCTCCTCACTGAAAATCTTTCCTGATGTGCCCAGAGGAAAGCTGCCAGCATTCTGAACAGGCATACAGGTAGAGTGCTCAAAACACTTCCTTGGTGCCTCTTACTCTGTTGGCCAACAAAATCCTATTGAAACAGTTGACCTAGTAGTTCAAAAAACAAATGCATGTCATTATGGATTTATTTTATTTCTCATGATGTAAAAAAGACAGATTAGTACAGATAAAAAGACCTCTGTTGCTGTTTTTGAGATTTTCTAGTTCTTGGTAATGGACGTCATATTCTAAAATTATGGAAGATGTCATCTTCCATAACTATGTCTGAGTGCTAGGAAAGTACGTTGTAGAAAGTAATTATATACATAGTTGCAAACCTAGCTGTTCACTTCAAGCAATAAATTCTGATCTGCAAACAACACTCCTTTAGAGCTAAATATGATCTTGGTTGTAATGGACTGTCTTTACCTTAGCATTCTGTTGTATTGGAGGAATATAATTTTAATCTGCTGTCTTTAAATTTTCATTAAGGAACGTTTCAGCTACCTGCAGCCTCATCCGATGACGTTTAATGATATCAGCTAGCTTGATCTTCCTCCATGCACCAGCAGGGACTTCTTTAAATTGCTCAACTGTATGGAACACTGTTTTCAAGTTTAATGTACTTGGAATTGACCTTTTAAAGTAATGGTATTTCTAAACACAGTTTAAATACAGTTTAAATACATAGCACACACATATGTTTGCATTTATATGTGCATGTGTGTGTACGCCTATATATATATATATGTAAGTGCACACATATGTATAGAAATGCTGATCCTATTCACCTTTTTAAAATCATTACAGCTAGTATTAACATGAATGTGCTGTTAAATTGGCAGTGTTATACATTTTTGTTGGAGTTTACTTCTGTAACATAAAACCAGAAAGATAAGCTGTGAAACTCGTGCAGCTGATGACATAATCCTAGAATCTCATGATGCTGAATCTCATATTGCTAGGAGTGTGGGATGGATGTTCTTTGCTGAAATAATTATACTGTCTCTTGCAATATATGTTTCCTTGTTTTCATGTGGGTGCTGAGAAGTCCAAACCATTAAACATAAATGGTACAATGAGTCTTGTGTTCCTTATTTATTCTAAAGAAGGTAATAAATTTATATGGTTTTATGGCATAATAAAGCCAACTACTTTAAGAATCTGTGATGAACATAGCAATAATCTGTGACAATATGCATATTTACTTTTAATAATTATGTCCAATTTTACATATATGCATAAATATGTATATATGTATATACAAACCCATGTAGAGAGACATATCCATAAATTAAACAGAACCAATTAGAAGGTGGCATAAATAGATTCAAACCTTACCTGTTATGGCTGTGTGAAGGGATAATTTGAGCTACAAGGACATGAAAGAAAGCATACTCAATACACTCCATTGGCTCATTCTCATTATGCTCAACAGTGACAGGCTGTATGCTAAGATGGGGTACCAGCAGACGTTTGTAATGACAGCTGGTTCAAAACAGAGCTTTCAAAATAGTGCAACACCCCCAGCTTCCTTCCAAATCTTGGTGTTTGCCAGCATTTAGCTGAGGCTGGCTCTTAAGGTCAGATGTTCAGATGTAAGTTATTCAGAAAGAATTTTCTTCTTTATGTTTGAACTGTATATATTCTCAACATATAGGCTCTTTGTTGCCCATGAATTTGCATTTAAACTCACACATGGATTATGCTTGTCCACTACCTGCAAAAATGATGGATGTTTTTCCCTGACACTGCACCCTATTTTTCTGAGTTGTCCTCTGTCAAGTTCTCTTGTGGGGTACATAAACTGAGACTCAGAGAGTAGCTCTTTCTTTTTACTGGGACTGAAAAACTCCTCAACCTCTCTGTTGAGAAATGGAGGAAAAGCGGCTTCCCTTTAACATCACCCACATCTCACCCACCATGATCGGCCAATTAGGAACACAGCAATAAAAACCCCAAACAACCAAACTTCAGATGTCATGTGTGACTTTTCCTGGTGGATGTATATAGAATTTGAAAATAAATATACTCCTACTTTGGAGGAAAAAGCAAAAAGGGTTTATCTATTTGCATTTGAACTCAGTGAAAAATACCTAAGCATGGAAAGTGCACTTGAAGGTAAGACACGAACATAAGCAAAGCTAAATTTCACTAAGCTAAATTCAAGTGAAATGTGCCACATTTTTATAATTACTACAAAGAACATGCACTAATTAATTGTTATGCTGTGCTGGTGAAATAGTTAAGTATTCTATATGGGGCAAGTAGAAGAGGTTACTGATGCTATTGACTTTACTTAGAAGCCAGTATGTGGGGAGCACGCCATGAACAGCCTTGTGAAAATGAGGTTGGTGAATTGATTTGGTCTTAGAAATTACTTTTCAGAGTGGTTAGAAAAATATTTTAAATCTTAGATAACTTTTAGTTGTACTGGATTACTGGACTGCTAAGTGTGTGCATTGTGTTCAAAAGCAGGTTTTCATTTGCCTTGTCACTGGGGGACCCCAAGTGCTAAGCGTCAGATCTTCAGAGGAATTCAGACAAATAATAGTGCTGCTCTTTGGGGATCTTCAGAGCTGCCAGGACACTTCTCTGTAAATGAAATTAAAGGGACATGAGCATCAGGGGGTTTCAGAAAAGCATTGACTGGGTACCTATCAGTCTCTTGCGGAGCTGCACTCATTTCTGAAGTGTTGACTCTGCTTTAGTTGGAGATGCATCTGGGGATATGTTGAGGGGAACAGGATGGGTCTGTACTCATTTCTGGAGGAGGTATAGGTCTCCTGCAAGCCAGAGGCCTGTGCAGGGCTGCTTCCCTGCAGCAGGCTTGCTTGGCTTACACGCACCCGTCCTGTTAGCTCCATCATGGTATGCGTGAGCAGTGTTGGCCTTGCACTCCGTCTGGCGATGCTACTGTTTGCCATCAGCCTTCTCTCCTGGATCAGGGCTGTTACCGATTGCTGAGGGGTGGCCAGGGGCAGCTCCCTCTGGTGAACCTCTTTTGTGCTTTTATCTCCCTCTGCTTGGCAATAAGCTGCCACTGGCTCACAGCCATGGCCCTCTCGCCCTCCCCAGTGCCCAGCTTGCATGCTCAGCCAGTGCCTACATCTCTTCCAGCAGCTGGCCCTACTTTTCCTCCACAGCTGGCTGCTGCCCCCTACTGTGGTAATTATTATTTATTATGGATATTCAGTGTACATTACGTGTCCAGAGTCCAGTACAGTCTGAATCACTACCAGGGTCCCACTGTGTGGGCAAGAAGCACAGTCGTACACACTTGTTCCACACTGATATTCTCTCTACTCTCATGCTGAGAGAGACTGAGAGGAAAGGGGTGAACATAGTTGTTGGCACCCATTAGCACTAATTGATGTGACACCTACTCTCTCTCCTGTGTTACATGACTCCAGCAACAGCACAGCTTAGGGCAGAGCTGCTTTATCTCCACCTTGCTACCAATAGCAGGTCTCCTGCTATTCCTGCTACCTAGCAGGCAACACCTGAAGTGTTTTCCAAAAGTCATGGTTGCTGATCAATCACACTTTAACTCCCCATTGCTGTGAATGCAGATGTTGCTTGGTTTTCAGTTGCTGTCAAGAAGTAATGCCCTTAGACCACAGCATGGCTATGTGGGACACCATTTTCTTTCCTGTTTCTCTCCCCCACCTTCTTCTCTGGGATTCTCTGTTCATGCCAGTTCCTTTGCGCATGCATTCTTCTCCTTGCATTTCAGCCTTCCTCCTCACCCTGCCTCCCTGAAGACACCACCCTCAGTTAAAAACAGAGGAGCTATAACTCCCACAACTCAGTGCACAGACAAAAGCACCTGGAGGGAGAAGCAGCTTCTCTACACTCGAAAAAATACAGAATCTTAAACATATTTCACACATATATGCACGTGTGAGAGGCAAGTTCTCAGCTGTGCTGGATAGGGTTAGGTCTGTGCAAGAAGATAGAGCAATACTACTCCATGGCAGCTGAGAATCTGTCCCGGTATGTAAATGTAAACATCTATTTTTACGAGCCCTCCTACAGTTTGCTTAAAAAAATATTGGTTTTTAGACTCTGAAAACACACAACCCAGTCAGAAATGTCCCACTTTCTATATTTTGTCTAATTCCTACCTCTGACTTCCTCTGAAAGCTTTCAAAACCTAATGAATTCAAGAGACAAAGTGAACTAAAACTGAAGCAGCTTTGCCTTCAGTGCACTGGGCCTACAGGAACTGAAATGTTTGATTGTAACTGGACTCACCAAACCCTGCAAAATTCCCACTGTCTTAGTACTTGTAATCTGCTGCCCTTTCAGCTAGCTGCAGCAAGTTAATGTCAAGAGCAAATACATGATGCAGTCTCTACATCAGAGCACTTTTTACCATGAATCACTTTTTAAATTGTTTTGAGTTTATATTTAATTGCTTCCTTTGCATGCTATGTGTACACATGCACTCCTCCCGCCCCTCATGTTTCACATGTAACTGTTGTGTAGGCTGGAGTCTTTGAATATGGAGTTATTCAAACCTCAGAGCGCAAGGAGTTTCAATCCAGGAACTGACTTGTCCTCTTTTAAGATGGGAACCACATGTGTGACTTGAATCCAGATCTGGGGTGAATTCTGGATGTGCTAATTTGAATGAATTAGGATTGGGGATTCAGACTCATTTCTTTGTTACAGTACTAGTTCTGATACCCGCTACTGGGTGTTCACCTTTCCCTTCCTCAACAGAAAGAGAAATGCTTCCCGTATTCACTTATTCAAGACTGATTTGCAGTTCATTCCAGGATCAAATCACCTTCAAGCTATTTTTCTCAGTTTTATTTCTGAACATTCTCTGTGACAATTGCTTATAAGTGACCTCTGCTAACAGTTTTGAATATTTGGATCACTTGGTCACCTTCCTCTGAGAAGTCCCTGTCATTCCACTTTCCCTCTGTAAGGCTGCCCCACTGATTTTTTAAAGTAATACAGTCCCACACAGAGACACTCTTCCCCTTGTAACAGCCTTAGTTTGGGAGACTGAAACAACAAACTATCTCTTGAGCTGCTGTTCAGAACCAGTTTCTTGGGCTCCCTAAAACTGTGGCAACTTCAAAGCTCTGCTATTCTCAGGACTTTCCTCATCTCCTTTTGAAGACAGGCAACATACAATAGGGCTTCCCAGCCTTCTTGTGCTGCTGCATTTTTCAAGGGAAGAAGGCATCCCCTTGTCAGTATCTCGGCTTTTTCTCACTTTATTTCCCCTCAGAACTCCCAGATGAACACCATCCGGTTGTGGTGATTTACTGCACTTGAGTTTCTCAAGTTACTCTACAACTTCCTCCATAGAGACTTCATTCTATATAAAGGCCACACTCTGATTTTCTTTGCAAAGTGTCTTTGGCACAGGAATTTCTGCATGACTCTCAACAGCAGACATGATGCAAGAGATTCATTTAACTCCTCTGCTAGCTTGTTGCACTCTTCTCCTGACCCACTGTATATGGATTTGTGGGGATCTCTGCAGTGTTTTGATGCATAGTCCAGCCTAAGATTAATATGTGAGGCTTGTCTCTCAACTAGTTTTCTCTTGCTGCTCTACTGAAGGATATTTCTGTACGTTACTACAATCACTCTCAACACATCTTATTTGGCTGGCTAATTAAGCCCAGTACCATTCGTCTGCACTACATCTGTTGCAGGTGGGTTAAATTCTCTCTGATGAAAACTGGCACTGTCCCTAGGGAGATGTTCAGGTGAGGAACTGGTCCTGCAGGAGACCCTCCCCTAGCGCTATGGCAATCGACCCCCTGGCATGTCACACTGAAGGGGCAGGCTGAGTGCTCAGCAGCACAACTCAGGAGGAGCAGCACCCATATCCTAGGCCATGGCCTGGCCCTCAGACAAGTGAAAAACCCTTTGGTCTTTTGTCTTTGATAAAGGGAAGCCAGAGGTCTGTGGCAACCCTTTCTCTTTTCTGCTCTTCCTTTTGTGTATCTTTATTTCTGTTTCTTCCCACTCCCTTTCTGTTTTGAGAAAGACAGAAACTGCCATATGGCAAATCCAGTCTTTAATGACTTTGATGGACAGAACTAGAACATCA